GGACTAGATGACCTCCTGAGGTCCCTTCCAACCCTGATAGTCTATGATTCTATGAAACAATTCTATACTAAAACAAACCAGTTCTAGCTCTGGTAACTACCAATGATACATGGCCAGGATGGAGTTCTGATCACAAAGGAAACACTCAGCTGGATTGCAGATTTTTGTGTGAACTCCTTACATTTTCAGCTGCTCAGATTTTTGTTAACATTTTTTATTCATTTATTTATTTTGGGGAGGGGGCCAAAACTTTCAAAATTCCCTGATTTTTTTTTAAGGGGAATAAACAAAAACCCTTTTTAAGAGTTTTTTTTGGGGGAGCAATTTTTTGCTCTCTCTTTTTATCATTTCACTGACTCTCTTCAGTAACAAAATGGGAAAAGGAACAAGGGAGGGGTGGGGGAAGGAGGAGAAATCCAAAAACCAGAAATGAAGAGGGGGGAAAGTTTGCCAAAAATCAAGATTTCAAAGAAAATTCCTGAAATGTTTTTGATAAAAAGATCATTTTTAAGTTTAAACATTCTCAAATGAAAAAATTCAATCCAGTCTAGTAACTACATTCAGTGAAAATTTTCATTAAAATTTCAAATTTTGACCAGCTGTATATTCTAAAAGCTGCATAAGTGACATAGTCAAGTGTTCACTATGGATGTGTGCAGCCGTTTCCACACGCACAGAGGCAATTTTTCTAAAATGTGCTCCTGTATGGCAGTATAGCACAGGCAGCATGGTGAATACTGCTTTTCTCCACATTAAAAATCTCTAATATAAAATCAACGTTCTTACTGTGCCATAAACGACTCTTTGTTTTCTTGGAATTTCTTGCACATTACTTCAGGCTCGGGTCTTTGATATGGAGGAAGGAACCCTGGAGTAGAATGTTTGAATGACAGGAAACACTGATTTCTTTCAGGGTCGGCTTTTCTACAGCAGTTGGCCATTTCACCATATGCTTCACCAAGCATATCTATTTTGCAGATCTCATCCAGGACAATAGTAGGCTGTAGGGGAAAATACATTGAGTAGGGTCAGAGTTAAGGTTGCTCATGGAATGTCTGATATAAAAATCTAGATGACTGAAAATTTACAAATTACATCTAATCTGAAAACAATTAGAATTCATGGGCCAGAATCTCACCTGGTATAAACTGACATAGCTCCATTGACTTAATTAGAGTTATGCCAATTGAGATCACCTGAAAAACTGGTCCTATATTTATATTACTTTGACCATTTTAATGCTTTATTATTGAGATAGATTCACTGGAGGTTTGACTTAGTAGGCTGTAGAACAAATCCTGCTCACCTTATGCAGGTAGCCTCACTGAAGTCAATGAGCATATGTGGGTGAATTTGGGAAGCAATTATTATTCCTTTAGTTAAATATCAATTTGGGCAGCCTTTGAGATGAAGCCATAGGATTCCTGATAGTTGAATTACCAGTTAAAATCAGCTAGAATACAATCCCAAACTGGCACATTAACTATAGTGCTGCCTACGAGCATATGTTAATATGGCTGAGCCCAAGTTGCAAAATTCAGGTCTGCTTCCAAATTTCAAAGCATTCAGAATTCAGGGGTTTTCAAATTGGGATTGACTTGACTGGGCAAGCATCTGTGGAAATTTAATGCACTCAGGCTAAACATTTTCAAAAGTGCCAAAGGGCCAGATCAGTTATTTAGGTACCTGAAGATGCACAGAGGCACCTAACTTGCTTAGGTACCTACTACTGGGATTTTCTAAAATGCCTACGTAAGCTAAATACCTATATGCATTTTAGACACCTAAACATCTTTGAAAATCTGAGCAAAGACTTAAAACCCTGCATCCCATTGAAAATGAATGGAACATAGGCTCGTAAGTCATTTAGATGCTTTTGGAAATCCCACTCTCAAAATGTAAGAGAATCAAGCGCCATGTTTCAGAATATATATACAATGGAGAGTAGCTCGCTAGCAGTATCAAAACCTGAGAGTCTTAAAGTTTTGTGATGAAAAACCAATAAGTGATTTTGGTTTGCTATTAAAGACTGCTACTGAGTGTTTTATCATAATGCTGTATTTGCAGTGTAAACAGAGAAGAATCATAATAACAATGGACTCTTTGCCTACCACTGGTTTCAAACACTCTGGGTCCTGCTCATTGGCAACACACTTGTGTGCAAGATCCACGACATCCTTCACCTGTTTAGCTATCTCTTCATAAGGGCACTTGTGGAGAAACTGAGCAAATGTGATCAGGGCACTGAAACACAAAGCATATTTTTAAAGATGTAGATAAGGGGGGGGGAACTTCCCTGAATTGCTAGTCGTCTTCTGGATTCAGAGACATTGCTGGTATCTATGGTAACCAGGCAGAGAACCACTGAGTAAAAGAGGCAGGCAAGAAGTTTGCTGTAGATTCAACAAAATTAGTGAGGGCCAAATGTTCCCGGGGCCTCAGTACCGGTGTACACAAATTTGTATGCACAATCGTGCAAATGGCTGTGAGTAAAAATCGTGCATTCAAATGTCAGATGCCTAAACTGAGAAACCACATAATCATATTTCCACAATCGGTATCCTTCCTTGTCCTTTCCTCTTCCTGGTGTATGGTTTATCTTAACACTTCTCTAGCAAGACCATGACATAGACTATAAATGCCTCAGATCACGGACTTTTCTTCTGTGTGTTTCCTGGAACTTGTACCCAGTACACCTGTAGGTGCTATAAAATAATTATTATCGTCAATGTTAAATAATGAGATCTTCAGCTATCTCCACCATGCCTAAAAACCACATAGGTCAAGCTGACTTGTCTCACATAAACATCCTTTTGATCTATAAATGTGACTCCTTCAGTCATCCAGAGGGAATCACATCCACACTACTCATAGGCCCTAGCAGGTCACTGAGGGACTCTGACTAAATCTTGCAAAGCGCAATGTATTGTGTTGCCACAAGGCCAGACAATGATACTTTGGCTCGCCCGTGAGCATCAGTCAAATGTAGGATTGTGACTGCTTCAGCCAGCAAGTTTTATCTATATATTATCTAACTGGACATTTAGAAGGCTAACATTTCTGTCACATTCTTTTTTTATATGTCTCGTGTATTCTATTTATTCATCTTGATGGGGGGTTTTGGCCAACTAAGAATGTAAAATGATGAGGATGATTATCACTACAGAACATAACTCGAATGTTCACTTACGCTCCTTTAAATTTCTCTTCCTTTAAATCGTTGAAACGGTGGACAATCTCACTCTTGTGTTCTGAGTGGAAAAAGAAAAGAGAACAATGAGGATCATTTTTTACATTAGCTATGTATAGAATCATGCCCCTATAGGGAATATATTCTGGGCATTTGGGGTGGGATTTTCAAACGTGTTCAGCATTAACCTAACTGTTGAACTCAATGGCAATTTTCCCACTGACTTCAGTGGGATCAGAGAAAGTCCAATTCTGAGCACTTTAGAAATCCCACCACTTGCTAACCTTCATTTCTGCTAACCCTGTATTCTCCCTCTCTCTAACCTCATCTCATCTGGCCCATCTATTCCACTTGCCATCCATCTGGCCCATCTATTCCACTTTGTATTTTATATGTCTCGTGTACCCTGGCCTCGTACATTGCTAATCTATCCTAAGTAAAATATTCCCACCATTAGCATTTTTCTGATTTAGTGTTTAACTGCATAAGTGTGTTCCTATTTCAAGTATACGAAATAACTCATATGGGTATGTCTACACTTCAGTGTAGACACTACCTATGCCGACGGGATGGGTTCTCCCGTTTGCATAGGTAATCCACCTCCCCAAGAGGTGATAGTTAGGTCAACAGAAGAATATTTCCATGGACGAGCACTGTCTACACAGCGACTTAGGTTGGAATAACTGTGCCACTCAGGGATGTGGATTTTTCACACCCCTGAGCGACATAGTTATGCCAACCTAATTGTCTAGTGTAGACCAGGCCTATGACTATTGGTAAGTATGGACTTTCAATGACAACCATTGTACTATTCACAAAAGAGATGAGCTGAGGACGATACATTTTGGTTTGGGGATCTGTTGGAAGGGTTTTTATTTTGCAAACTCAAAATTAAAGCTAGGTTGGGTTGGATTCTTGTTCCACTGTATGCAAATCACCATTGTCTTCAGTGAGTGGAAGTATTAGGCCAAACTGAAATCTTTTATATATCTGTAGTGAATATAGCTTATGATTATACAGCATTGTTCATCCCAAAGCTCTTTGCAAGGTGTGTGCATAAAACAATCATTCATCTACCACTGCACTATATCCACCTCTGGGGTGGAACTTAGCAGCCATTCTGTCCTAATAACACTATTCAGTGATTTTTTTTAAAACATTGAAGAACAATTATGCTAACTGAAAGTAAAAGAGAGACTTTCACTAGATAAAATGTAATTACTAGAGTCGTTATCTGGAAGGATACTGCTTCAGGCCTACCTAAGATTATGTGATTTCTGCATTCCTTTTTGGGGTGTGATTCTAAACCTACTGAAGTAAGTGGTAATTGTTTCATTAATTTCCATTGTTTTTGGATCACGCCCTTAAAGTTCAGTTATGAGATTGCAAAATTAACTTCAACCAGTCACCAAAACAATTATAAAATACAAAGTTTGCAAAGACAGCATGAAAGCAAGTAGCTAATATAGATCTTTCTTACCTGCATCTCTAGCAGATCTTTTCAGATCTCTGGATATAGCAAAACTGAAGAGGAAAATAAAAGAAATAAATGCTAGCCACTTCATGGTTGCAGGTTATTTTGTGGGGATGAATTATTCGGGAATGGTAGAAAGACTGATGGAAAGAGCATTGATTAATATACTCTTCTCAGCTGGTGTCTGTAAAAGATTAACCATACACTTTCCATCTGGCCTGAAGAAGATTACAAAATGGGAAATATCCTTGCCAAAAATGAATTTGATAAAATTATTTGCTTATGAAGTTTGTGACCTGGAACTTTTGGTTTTGAAGACCTAGTAAATTCATTAACTTTCCAACACCCAGACAGAAAAAGATTTGTGTAAATTACCTTCTCAAATGACATAAAAGGGATTCAAGGGATCTTATTAATGTATCATTTAGGCTAATCCCACAACCATGCATATTCTTAGCTAATATTTATACAAAAGTAATCTGGACTAATGGTGTGCAGGTAATGGTTTGGCTAGCTAGGAGTATTAAGTTCAGAAAGTGATCCATAATTGCAGCTATCTAATAAATTATTTTAAAATTAACTTTTTTATAAAAGATGAGGTACCAGACTCATCAGGAAACACACACAGATGCTTTGCACTGCTCCAATGACAGACATACACTGGACACTTAAGATGAATTTATGGTTGCTTTGCATGAGTAGAGTAGCAGAAAGAAGTCAGAGCTGCTGGTGAATCTGATTTTCTATTTGGCTAAAGAAAAATATCACAGGTTGATGTGATACATTAGTGAGACCAAAGGTAAAGGAGGATTGAGTTTCCACATTTAATTGGCCCCAGAATTCTCAGAAAAACAAAAAGTAAAGATGTGGAATGACATATCCTGTGCTTGTGTTCATATTCCAGGGACACTCATGGAAACAAAGATGAAACTTACGTCTACACTACCCGCCGGATCGGCGGGTAGCGATCGATCTATCGGGGATCAATTTATTGCGTGTAGTGTAGACACGATAAATCGATCCCCAATCGCTCTCCCGTCGACTGCTGAACTCCAGCTCGGCGAGAGGTGGAAGCAAAGTTGATGGGGGAGCCGCGGCCGTCGATCCCGCGCCGCGAGGACGCAAAGTAAGTAATTCTAAGTCGACCTAAGATACGTCGACTTCAGCTACACTATTCTCGTAGCTGAAGTTGTGTATCTTAGATCGATCCCCCCTCCCCCAATGTAGCCCAGGGTACATGGCCCAAGGGAGATAGAGCCCTATTTCAGATAATGTATCTCTGTTGTCTGGAAGATGGGATTGACCCTTTCACCTTGTGTAGGACCAAATATCAGCTCACAACTTCTGGGAGATGACCTGAGGTAACATCCAGGAGGAAAGCTGGTGAAATAGTAAAAGATGTGAGTTGTGCAGTTTTGATGTGAGTTTGAGTTCTACATGTCATGGGTTTGAGTTATTCCTCTCTGGCAGAGAGTTGTGAAAATGTTTGCAAGCCCTGACATTTTCACTAGTTTTAACACACACCAAAAAATGATTCATCCCAGGAGTGCTTTATTTCTTATTCACAATTCTCCTGTTTTAAAAAATTTCATTCCACTAGTCAGAGAGCTTTGGGGCCCAACCATGCAGTAGGAATGATGAACAGTGATCAGTTTGCAAAGAGTTTTATGACTGTCTGACTCACAGGCAGAAAAATATTTGTCCAATCTATTCAGTGAGTACTTTTGAATAACAGAAGGCTAGACTGTCAGATGGTGTAAATTAGCATAGCTCCACCATGAGGAATGCAGTGATTTGCACCAGCTAAGGATTTGGCCCATATTTCTTTCAAAATAGGGATCAGTTTATGAATGGAGAAAGGGGCTGACCTCATAACAAATATTATCCACAATGAATAAATCGACCATTCATAGCCCGATTACATAACTGACTTTCTACTGGACCCCTCAACCTCTTTGTTAATCACCCTTTAACTTTCTTCCAGTGAAGTGGTAGTCTGACCTACAGTGGGTGACTCTTTGATTTTGGCTGGGAGGAATGAAATAAGTCATTGGTGGAAACAGCCTTGAGCATATGCAGAGTAGAAAAAGTAGGAGATTAGCACACAACATGGATAGGCTTGGAAGAATTAGATTTTGATCAGTAAATGTTGATAAACGTCGACTTCACTGTGCACACACAGCTGACAAAATATGTCCCTCAATAATCATTTAAACTTTCAGGTAGGCAAAGGAAGAAAAATGCTCCTTGAAAACTTATTAGAGTTTGAGGCTGTTTACTTTGTATATTTTGACCATTTGTCTTTTAACAACTATGAAGCTTTAACTTTTTGAATCTACTTTTTGAGACTACTGTCATTAAATAATTATTGACTGATGCCCCCTATTGTCTGACACCTCCCCCCATAGTCTCCTGCAATGGTGAACATTTAAATCAATAAAAATAAAAAATAATTGAAAATAAACATTGAAATTATATTTAAAAAATGTATTCTGCCAAACCTAGTCATGGATAAATGTAGTGCTTTCTCTTCAGAATTACCAGGCTGACTGTGGTAGACACCCATTTGTCAAATGTTCCATATTTGTACAGAAAAGGTAGGGGCTAAAACAGCCAAGCTACAAGCTCTGTGTAATTCTAATGCATATGATCAGCCGATCACTACATCTTCTCCAGCCTCAATCCCACCCTGTATGCTTTCCTCTCTCATCCCAATATTGGACTCTGAGATATCACTCCTGCTGGGTGCTTTTAACCCCTTAACCTACCCCCATTATCCAATTCCCTCCTATGATGGGATGTACTAGGGCTTTTCTGCCCCCTGCTGGAGGCATTGCCACCCTGACACACCCACATGCATGGGGAACATCACCTGGGAAAGAGGGGCAGCAAGTTTAGGTCTCCAGGCACTGCCTAGAGAACCATTCAGGCTCTGGTACTGGTGGAATCAACAAGACTTGGTCCTCCAACAGCTGGGAAGAGACCCACCAGGTGAAATAAGAATGCTTGCCTTTTTATTATGGAGTGCTGGGTGGAGCTGGGCCAGGACAGAGTTGCGCCCCAGTGCTAACCCAGAACATTCAGGCACAGGTCAGAGCCTAATTATCCAACAGCACCTTCAAGTAAAAACCTGCGACAAACTGGCAGTGGTGATGGTGGTGGTTAGAAGGCTTCTTTCATTGTGTAATGGGGAGCACTCCCCTACTGGTCCTGCAAGAGCTTAATTGGGCCAGGTGGGCCTAATCAGATTGCAAACAGGCGAGCTTTAGGCTGGAGGCAGCTAATTAGAGGGAAGCTCACCTGTGCAGGAACAAATGGGGTTTCTACAAAAGCCAGGAGGCTGGCACAGAAGATAGTAGGTTACAAACTAAGCAGCTGGAAAAGGCTGTAGGAAGTAGTCACTCCCTGGGAAGAGGAGTCTTGGAGCTGGTACACCCAGAGAAAGGAGCAGAACCAGGAGTTGGTAGGAAGTAGTCCAGAAAAGGAGTAGTGAGAGCAGGAAGAGTAAAGCCCAGAACTGCTGAGCTGAGGGTCCCTGGACTGTAACCTAGAGTGAAGGGTAGGTCTGGGTTCCCCTTCCTGCCACTGAGGGAGTGGCATTGGGGCAGTGAATGGCAGACTGCCTAGGCCTGTTGATGGATTGAACCCCAGAAGGGGAAACACTGAGTGACCTAGCCAATGGTCTAAGTCATGAAGAGGATGCTGTGGGTCCTGGGGCTAGAGAAGCTGCAGACCAGAGTTGGAGTGACAGCATGCAAACTGTGGATGGGGATGATGGCCTCAAGAGCTAATTCCCAGAGGAGGTGCCAGCGTAGTGGTGAGTGGAGCACTCCATGACCCTGGAGTAATTTCTCTTAGCCTTCAAACATAATATGATCTCCCTTAGACTATTTAAAAACCCTTGTCTCTTCAACTACTGTCCCCACTCCTCTCCTTCCCTTTGCCTTAAGCTTCCTTGAGAATGCTCCCTCTGATTTGACTTGCATTCCTCTAATTCTTTCTGGGATCTTGTGCAGTTGTTACCATCCCCTGTCTTACTCCACTGAAATTTGTTCTGTCAGACATGGTTAGGAAGAAACTTCCCATATGGGCTGGTAATAATAGCAGACAATTATGGTAAGTCTCTTGCCACTTCCTCTGACACATGTGGTTTTGGCCATTGTCCAAGACAGGGCACTAGATAATATATACCTAGGGTCTGCTCTGATATGGTAATTCCTATATTCCTCTTTTCTCATGTTTTCTTTAATATTTGCTTTAAAATGTCTGGTTTGGGGAATATTCCTGCCTGTAAGCTTAAAAACTTAAAACTAATTTCAACTGTGTTGTGAAGTCATTTACCACGAATATTGTAACAGTCATTGCTGGGGAGTTACTTGAACTAGGTGCATTGTTCTGTTCTCTGACCTGCCTTTCCTCTGCACTCCCTTCCAATCCATCCATCATGCCAAAAGCCTCTTCTTCTCTTGTCGGTCTGACCATCTCCATCCATCTTCAAACACTGTATGTTTGCTGGTTTCCCCTGACTTTTCTCCTGCTGACTTTCATGATCCTGCACAGTCTATCCCTGCCTATAGTTCTGCTCTCTTCATGCTTCCCTTTCTCACTCACACTATTCAGCCCTAACACCCCTCCCTTTGTATCTGTCTCCCACTGTGATTTCCATGCCTTCACCATGCCCCTGGTGCAGATGGTTCCAAGCACCATGCACCATGCACCAATCAATCTCTCTTTGCCTTCAAATTCCTCCTCAAAACACACTTGATTCTTACCCTACTTCCAGTTCCCACTCGCACACCATGTACTATAGCTGTCTGGATGGTTTGAATTTGAGCTGGTGTGACCCCCTGAGTGGCATGTGTTACGCTTCCTGCTCTGTGCCATTCTACAGAGGACGTGTGTTATTACAGTCCCCAGTTCTAGAACCTTGGCTACTACAGTAGCTTACAGTTTTACCTCTGGTCTCTGGTGCAGTCCGTGGTGTGTCTGCCAAGAAGGCAGCTATCACACTGGTATGTTTCAGTCTATTTTTTTGTAAAGTGCCAACCATATAGTTGGTGCTCTCCCTCAAAGACAATAACAATGACAACAACAGTGATTAGGGTTATATTTGAATCAATGACCTAGAGGAAACAGGCTCCACAGACTATTACTTGGCCCT